TCACTTCCTTTGAGTCTTGGCTCAAATGTCTCCTTCCCAATGAGGCCCACCCTGTCTACCTACCCTATTTTACATTGTCACCAGACCCTCAGTCCTACCCTGGCATTCCTGTTCTCCCTTATACTGGCCTATATTTTTCTTTTTCTATTTATTTATTATGTTCATAGTTTATGGCCTTTCTCTTCCACCTCCCCATTCCATCATAAAGTAAGCTCCATGAGGAAGGGGTCTTTATCTATTTTGGTAACTGACGTATTCCAAAAACCCCTAGCATTCTAATACACAGAAGGCACTCAATGAATAGTTCTTGAGTTGAACTCCAACATGGCACTTGGTCTCCCCAAGCTGCCCATCCCCTCTTACCCTTGTGCCCCTAGGCAGCTTGGGAACCACAGGCTGAGGGATTGGAACTTGGTTTCTCTGATGACATCTGTGAGGCGTGGGGAATAATCTATGGCTCACAGCATTGCTTTAGGGAGGCAGTATTCAGCCTAGCTAAGAGCAAAGTGTCAGCACTCCGACAGCACAGGGCCCAACCCTGCACTGCAAGTATGAGTGGTGTGATGGTACTCGAGTCATTTGGTCTCTCTGAGCCTTGGTTTGATCAACGCAAAATTGGGAATGATGCTTTCCTCATTGGGGCAGGTAAAATATCTGTTGTGGATGAATCCGTAGATCTGGCAGAGAGCCTGGCACATAGTAGGTATGCAATACATTGGTCGGTTGATTATTAGGAAAAAGAGATAATGTCTGTAAATTTATGTATACATAAAGCACTTGGCATAGAGACTGCCATGTGGTAATCATGCATTCAATCGCACAAAAAATATTTATTGAGTGCCTACTATGCGCTTGGCAAAGTGCAATAACTGTGGGGAATAAGCTACTCATGTTCAGTCACTGGGAATGGAGTGGGCAGTGGAGAAACCTTCCACATAAGTCAGGATGAGCTCAAAAGGCAGCCTGAAGAGGACGGCATCTCTTACGAGCCAGTCTGCCTCAGCATCCCCAAAGAACATCGGGCAGATGAACATCCAGATCTGGCGCCTTCTTCTCCCATTGGCCTGGGCACCTGAAAGAGCTCTGCTCTCCCGAGTCAGTCATGCGTGTGATGACAAACGCGGGCTGGGACTCGTCCTCCCAGGGGTGCCCTCTCTGATTGATGTCTACTTGGGCTGCATACACAAACCAAGCTTAATAAGCACGATGGGCCTCTTCAGTGCAGGCTGGGAGCTGGGGTCTAGGGTTCCTGACATATCTGTTCATTGCTTCCCAAGTGCTTGGGCTTTAGGAGAGGGAGGATCAGGAGAGCTTAGGTGCCAACATCTGTCTGCTCTTTCTCCCACAGTTCAAGAATATGTTCCTTGGGGTCAGCCCCGTGGCTTAGCGGTTAGGTGCGCATGCTCCGCTACTGGTGGCCCGGGGTTCAGATCCCGGGCGCGCACCGACGCACTGCTTGTCCGGCTATGCTGAGGCGGCGTCCCACATACAGCAACTAGAAGGATGTGCAACTATGACATACAACTATCTACTGGGGCTTTGGGGAGAAAAAGAGAAAAAAAGGAGGAAGACTGCCAATAGATATTAGCTCAGGGCCAGTCTTCCTCAGCAACAAGAGGAGGATTGGCATGGATGTTAGCTGAGGGCTGATCTTCCTCCCAACAACAACAACAAAAAAATAGAATGTGTTCCCAGTGAGCTGTCACTCCCAGGCTTACGAAAGACAGCAACGATGAAGTCAAAATCAAGCTACCTCTGAGGGTTGGTGGTGATAAAATCAATTAGCAGTAGTAGTAGTAATAGCAGCTCACACATATAGAGCACCTATTGTGTGCAAGGCACATGCAAAGCTCTTTAGAGACATTATGTCTCACAATAACCCTTTGAATTAGGTTATTAACCCAATTTACAGAGGTTGAAACTGAGGTTCAGGGAGGTTTAGTATCTTGCCCATGATCACACAGCTAACAAGTGCTAAAAGGAGATTCATCCTAAACTGTCCAACTCTAGATGGCGTCTGCAAAATCCATTTATGGTTGTGTGGCTAAGGGTCTCTGCAAGCATCATGGTGTGTCTAGCTGCAAAGCCTGAGCAAGGCACCCAACCTCTCTGGACCTTTGGTTCCTTCTCTACAAGAGCATCGGCCTTCGGTTTTGTTGGGAGTTGATGAGTTACTGTATGTAAAGCCCTTAGACCCCACGCCTGGCACATGGTGAGAGCTCAAAAGTATTAGTAATTATTGATGTGATCAAATAGCCTAAGTCTAAGAGCTTTAGGCAGAATCCACTCTTTGTAAATGGCTGGAGAACATTCTTAAATGGGTATTTCAGCATCTACTTCAGGTTTACAAAGATAAGGGGACCTCACAATTTCTGGAATACCCTCTGCTTGTCACTCTGAATTCCTTCCTGAACCTGGTGGGGCATGTGTAGACTCAGGGGGACTATGCAAAACCCAAGCTCTATGGCTTGGTCCCCCCCGTGGTGGGGACAAGCTGGGTGTCTTGGGCTGGTTACTGCACACTCTGAGTTTCAGTTATGCCCCCTAGAAAAGGGAGAGAATCCTGGCACCCCCACCACAGGGCTGCTGTGAGGACTGTGGGACAAAATCCCCAAGGGACTCTGGATGCACATCCTGGCACAGAGTAAATACTCAATAAAAAGGGGGTGCTTTATAAGCAAATTAATCATTATTCTTAGAATCTTAATCACTTGTAACAAGGATACATAAATTCACATGCTTTTTCTTGCTCCGAGGCTGGTAGGGTGTGGGGAAAAATTTTAAATCTAAATCACCAAGGAGCCCATCCTCCTCCTTCACTGGCTCTTTTTCCACAACAGCCGTTCAGACTCTGCCTTAGCCCAGGCGGGAGCCTAACTCTGCATGGCTGGGGTTTCCCAAATGTGCCCCATGATACCCAAAACCAAGCCTGTCGCAAATAATGAAGGCTTTGTGCAGCTTCCCAGGAGCAAATTGAAGGGCTACACTCAATCCTTCCTGGAATCCAGGAGTGCATTTTCATGATACTGAGAAAGAAAAAAAGCAGCCTTAAAAAAATTCCTTATTGGGAAAAGTAGGGGGAATTTGGGGACAAAGGACCTAAGAGACAGAAAGAAAAGTATAATCCACCATGCCTGAGAGTAAGGCCTCTGGCAGCCTTGGCTTTGCAGCATTGCCAGGCCATTTCAGAAGAGCTGGCCCTCTAGGCTGGCCACCAAGTCTGGAACCATTGGGAAACACACAATAAATGAAATTACATTACAAATCAAGATATAATGCTATCACCTATGATCCCAGACTTTATGGCCATTGAGTACTGGAAATCATTAAAAGAGGTGAAGGTCAAGATAGGTTGCAGTTCTTATGCACCCCCACCCCCCGTGGTGGGGGCAAGTGTCTCCTTAGCAGCTGACTGACCTGAGACCTTTGGATCATGTATGCATCGTAGCTGGACCCGTGGTACTTGGCCGTAATATCTGGGCTGTAGCCAGCATCACAAGTGCATGGTATATTCGAGCTCGGGGGCTGTTTTCTAGGTCTATAAACCTGTGAGAGAAAGCTACAATGGTTAGGTGCAGGAGGGGAGGGCACAGGGCTCACAGGGATGGAATTAGGAAAAATCAAAGGAGGAGGCTTATCTTAAATATCTATGGCCAAGTGGGTGGAAGACCAAGTGTAGAAGATGCACAGCCCCAAACAAAGAGGTCAGATGTAAGCGGCCCCCAACCCTAGGGCCAGCACTAGCGAGGCATGCCGCTCTGTGGAATGACCTCAATGTCTGGCAGGGACTGGGACCCTCCCTCTGCAGGAGAGGGTGCCCAGGCATGCAGTGGTCTCTCTCTCTCAGCAAGGTAGCCCCACAAGAAATGGACTCTGGTTCAGGGCCAAAGGATGTCTTTTCCTTCCTGAGGAGGGAAAGTGTTGGCCCAATTGTGAGGGGAGGGAACTTATCCCTTGGGGCTTCCCTTCCATTGACCTTGCACACTGTGCTCAGCCCAGACCACCCTAACAGGCAGAAAGCAAGTCCTGGGGGCTGAAATCGACGTGGAGACACTCAAGTGGTACCACGTGGCATTTAGAGAGCTTCAGAGCCACATGTGGCCCTAGCTAAGATGTGGCAGCTATCTTGTGAGACCACAGACCACTGAGCCATAGTATCTGCTGAATGGGTTTCATAATGAAGCTAGAATCTGAGTGAATATCTTTAACCATTACTTCCAAAAAGCCTCAAGTTATATATGGAGGAGAAATAATATCTGAAAATTTCAGGGACGATTTTGCAATATGCTTCAGGTGCAATTATTTCCATTTAAGCCACATCCAGAAAGCAAAGAAATTTCTGCACAAGTTAGGACTTTGTCCCTTCATCCTTTTCCCTCAGAACAAATACAGTGGACTAGAGAGGAGGAAACACAGGATAATTGGGTAAACAGGTAAAAAAATATTTGACTAAATAATGGCCGAGGAGGTCTCCAAGCACAGTCTGGCAGTGCTAGGGGCTGGGAGATGTTCCTGGGCTGAAGGTCCTGGAGGAAATAGTTGAAGAACCAAAGCTGGAAGTATGGAGAGAAAGAAATCTAAAGAACAGGATAAGGGGAGTCATTTATAGGGCATAGAAAGTGAGCAAGACAGAAGGTAACAGGTCCAACAGGAAAGAAGGTGCCCAGACTTTAATTTGTAGTTTTTAGGATTTAGTCAGAAGTCATACAAAGTCCACTGAAAGGAAGAGAGCTGAGAGCTACTTCTGGGGAGATGATACTAACACAAAAGAAAGGAAAACAGAGCAACTTGCAAACCACACAAGCCCAGGCACATGCACATAAACACAGAAAAGCAGTAAAATGGTGTCCCAGCAACAACTTGGGCCATTTCACTCCTACCTGGTTTTAGCTGCTTGAGCCCACAGGAGGGACATGGGAAAATGAAGAGTGGCTAACCCCAGAGAAAGCACCCAACGCCCCAAACCCAGCAAAACACACCTCTTGTGCAGGAGACCCCACCTGCTGCTTTAACTGATGCACTAGTCGATCTTTTTCTCGCTTGAGGGCCATGACTTCTTCCTGTGTCTTTTTCTTTTTGGAGGCAGACAATTCCAGCAAGGCAATGTTTGCATCTTTTTCACTGATTGCCGCAAGCAGTGCTTCCTGTCTGGTAAAATAAAGATTATTGTGATCATTTTTATAAAATGAAAACAAAAAAAACCAATTGGCATTTATAGTTCAAGTGAGCCACAGAGTACTGTCTCAATGGGAAGGAATTACGGATAACGTTTAAGACAAACTACCTCCTTGACTCTCAGAATGAACAAAGGTTGGTTCAGAATCCCTGAGACCTACATACTGTGTCCTCTGAGAAAGCAATCTTGCAATGGCTTCATAGACACCACTGCATATTAGGAATCGAGGGAGTCAATCTGAACATTCACTTCTAACACACTTTCATCCATCTACCCATTCATCCATATAGTAATCCATCCATCCATCCATCTATCCATCCATCCATCCATTTGCCAAGTAAGGTTCTAGGCACTCCAAGACAACCCAACAAAACTAAGCAGCAATTTCAATATCAAGTATTATTTTTTCATGCAAGATTTTCTCTTGAAGGCAGGCAGAGATATTTACTAGGGTCCCCTTGCCATTTTCAGTGCAATTAGTGATGCTCTGCTGCCATTCCACCAAAAATCATTCCTTCTTCAGTCTTCCTTTTCTCAGTAATTACACCACCATCCACTATGTAGCCCAAGCTGCAAAGCCAGAAGTCATCCTTGATTCCTTTCCTTCCTTCTCTACCCAGAGCCAATCCATAAACAACTTTAGTTGGTTTTGCTCCAAAATACATCCCTTTATCTAAACTAATCTACTGATACCAAACTTCTCCCAAACAACATCATCTACTCTCAGAGCTCACTCACTGGTCTCCCTGGTACAGAAACCAAACTAATCTTTAAAAATATTACAAATCTGGATTTCACCATTCTGTTGCATGAAAAGTCCATTGCAGGCCGGCCCTGTGGCTTAGCGGTTAAGTGTGCGCACTCCGCTGCTGGCGGCCCGGGGTTCGGATCCCGGGCGCACACCAACGCACCGCTTCTCCAGCCGTGCTGAGGCCGCGTCCCACATACAGCAACTAGAAGGATGTGCAACTATGACGTGCAACTATCTACTGGGGCTTTGGGGAAGGAAAAAAAGGAGGAGGATTGGCAATAGATGTTAGCTCAGAGCCGGTCTTCCTCAGCAAAAAGAGGAGGATTAGCATGGATGTTAGCTCAGGGCTGATCTTCCTCACAAAAAAAAAATAAAAAATAAAAAAAAAAAGTCCATTGCATCACCCATTAGACTTGAAATTCAAACGCTTTACTGATGCCTGCAACCCGGTACACCAACTGGCCCTGACCACCTCCCTGAGATGGTCTTGTCGCCCTTTTCCTTCCTCGATCATTAGGCTCCAGCATATTTTGTTCATGAACTCTTTTCTAGTCCTTGAAAATGTTATACTTGTTCTTACCTCATAAGCTTTTCCTTTTCAATTCCCCATGACTGGGTGCCTTTGCCTCATTCAGCTCCTCATCCTTCAGGTCTCAACTCAAATGCATCCTCCTCAGAAAAACCCTCTCCAGCTGCTCTCCCTAGCAGTATCTCCCCACTTTCCACCTCATGTCCAAGCCACCGGCCTGTCACATTACACTTTTTTCATAGAACTCGTCACTATTTTAAAGGATCTGAGATACTTGTTATTTGTTTGTTTTCTAGACTTGACACTCCATGAAATTGGAACCTCATCTGTCTTGTGTATCACCAATTCTCCAGCTTCTAGAAGAGCACTGAGTACAGAGTGAGTGTCAAAAATGTTTGTTCAAGGAATAAATAAGTTCACTTTGCACTTTTTAAAAACTTTTGACCAACAATATTTTTCATGGAAATAGAACAAAGAATCCTAAAATTGATACGGAACAACAAAAGACCCCAAACAGCCACAGCAATCCTTAGAAAAAAGAACAGAGCTGGAGGTATCACATGCCTTGATTTCAAAATATACTACAAAGCTATAGTAATCAAAACAGCATGGTATTGGCACAAAAACAGACACACAGATCAATGGAACAGAATTGAGAGCCCAGAAACAAACCCACACATCTACAAACAACTAATTTTTGACAAAGGAGCCAAGAACATACACTGGAGAAAGGAAAGTCTCTTCAATAAGCGGTGGTGGGAAAATTGGACAGTCACATGCAAAAGAATGAAAGTAGACCATTATCTTACACCATACACAAAAATTAACTCAAAACGGATTAAAGACTTTAATGTAAGACCTGAAACCATAAAACTCCTAGAAGAAAACACAGGCAGTAGACTCTTTGGTATTGGTCTTAGCAGTATCTTTTTGAATACCGTGTCTCCTCAGGTAAAGGAAACAAAAGAAAAAAATAAACAAATGAGACTATATCAAACTAAAAAGCTTCTGCACAACAAAGAAAACCAATCGACAAAGTGAAAAGACAACCTACAAGTTGGGAGAAAATATATAAAGAACTCATACAAGTCAACAACAAAAAAAACAAACAACCCAATCAAAAAATATGGACAGACATTTTTCTAAAGAAGATATACTGATGGCCAAAAGGCACATGAAAAGATGTTCAACGTCACTAATTACTAGGGAAATGCAAATCAAAACTAAATGAGATATCACCTCAAGCCTGTCAGAATGGCTATTATTAAAAAGACAAGAAATAACAAGCGTTAGAGAGGATGTGGAGAAAAAGGAACTCATGTACACTGCTAGTGGGAATGTAAACTGGTGCAGCCACTATGGAAAACAGTATTGAGATTCCTTAAAAAATTAAAAATAGAAATATCATACCATCCAGCTATTCCACTTCTGGGTATTTATCCAAAGAACACGAAAACACTAATTTGAAAAGATATATGCACCCCTATGTTCACCGCAGTATTATTCACAATAGCCAAGACTTGGAAACAACGTTAAGTGCCCATCAACAGATGAATGAATAAAGAAGATGCGGTATATATATATACAATGGAATACTACTCAGCTATAAAAAAGATGAAATCTTGCCATTTGCAACAACATGGATGGACCTTGAGGGTATTCTGCTAAGCGAAATAAGTCGGCCGGAGAAAGACAATTACCATATGAGTTCATGCGTATGTGGAAGATAAACAAACAACTCATAGATAAAGAGAAGAAATTAGTGGTTACTAGGGGGGAAGGGGCGGGGGAAAGATGAAAGGGGGTAAAGGGGCACATGTGTAAGGTGACGGATGGCAACTAGACTTTTGGTGGTGAACATGATGCAGTCTATGCAGAAGTCAAAATATAATGATGTACAACTGAAATTTATATAATGTTATAAACCAATGTGATCTTCCTTAAAAATTAATTAAAAAACTAAAAAAAAAAATATTCTGAAGACACCACTGTACAACTCTTCCTCTCATTGTTTTTAAATTACAATGCTTTGATTCCTGCTTAACCTCTGATAATTCTTTACTCAGAAAAGTATTAAAGCTGCCTCCTGGGCCAGCCCCATGGCTTAGCAGTTAAGTGCACGCACTCTGCTACTGGCAGCCCGGGTTCAGACCCCGGGCGCGCACCGATGCACTGCTTCTCTGGCCATGCTGAGGCCGCGTCCCACAGACAGCAACTAGAAGGATGTGCAACTATGACATACAACTATCTCCTGGGGCTTTGGGGGGGGAAAAAAAAACTGCCTCCTCCCATTTTATAGTCCTATTTTCTGACAACATCTGTCACATAATGTAACCTGGAACTTTGGGGGACCATTTTTGACTAGGAAATGGCTCTCCTGGTGTCTTTCATTTAGTCCTCTTTCTACTGAGGAAATCTTGTCCCAACCATGTGTGTCACTTCTGCAACATTCTAGATACCTTACAAGTCCCTACAGCCCCAGGAAAGCCTCCATATTGGGTACTTTCTTTGCACATAAGTCCCAGGACTAAAACCTGGTCGTGATCCTGTTTTGTCTTTTTTTTAATCCCCATCACCAGACCAGGCCCCCTCCAGATGTTTAAACAAGATGGTCATTATTTGGATCTCAGATTTTCCCAATCTTCACTGCAGGGATTTGTATGGACTTTTCTGGGCCCCGCTAATGCCAGGCAGCAGGAGCTTCTGTCTGAGGCTCGATCAGATGTGTGAGCAGCAGAAATGTCAGGAAACATCTCCACTTTCCAGAAGAAAACCAGTGCAGCCTGGACTACCAACAGCAGCATTAATATCCAGCTTCACAGGGCCTGTCTCCTTCTGGATAACATCTTGAGACAATAGACATACTTGTCGTTCATAGCCAGTGCATATTTATACATAAGGCCAAGCTGAAGGGGCTGCATGGACTTAAAATCAGGGAGAGCACATTTGCTATCTACTCCAACTTGGCTACAACACACCCAAGGTAAATGCAATATTTTACCTCACTCCTCCCCAAATTGAAATGTTCAAGTGAAGCTTTTTTAATGGAAACAACGTAAAAAATCATTATTAGTAAAACTAGGGATTGACAGCAAATTATGGTCATCTCTACAATTAACTCTTTACAGCTATATGCAGCCATTTAAAATGCTGATGAAAAAAACCCAATGATACCTGAAAACAATTATGTTTGTTGAGAGACAATTCTCTGTGCGTCTCGTATTTCTGCACATTTTACAAGCAAAGGCGCTATCTTCTTTTCTCACGATCTTTCAAGAACGTTTGTATAGAGACTAGCCTTGGAAGATAGAGGCCATATCTCCCTTAGGATCAGAGGGTAGACATGCTTACTGCCCTGTATAATAGTGTCTCTCTCCAGAGCAAAGCACAGGCATATTACCGCCCATTATAAAAGATTCGGGTTCCCTAAAGTCAGGGTTGCTCTCTTTTAATGAAACCCACTGCACGTACAGCTATTCATCTGGCCCATCTGTCTTGTCTCCATGGGACTTGGGGAAAGGGGAGTTGACGTAAGTATGCAGATGCTGCTCTCTGCACGTCGAGCAATAAAGTCCTTTGTCTCTGACCCGAAAGTCTCTGGTCATCTGCCTGCATCCATGAAACTGAGGCAATTAACACGTTAGCGTAACAGGCAGTAAAATGTCAGCATGCCAACAGGGAAAATCTCAGACCCTTCACAGTTCTTGACATGCAAATACATATACAATAAGATTCTCAAAACATAAAACTATATTCATAGAAAAAAATGGGAAGGAAATATACCAAAATGCTAAGAGTCATTATCTCATAGTGATGGAATGGATAAGCTAGTTTTTAGGTTTTTTCTATCTATATCTTTTTGCATTATTCTTCCCTCCCACAAAATATCTTAAGACTGAACATTAAAAAGTTGCAAATGAAGCTTTTGAGTCACCAAATAAACTGCAGGTACATGCTTCAAATACTTGGCATATGCGAAATTTGCTCATTTTCCCATCAAGGTATTTATGTTGTCTCTGTCCCTCTCACTCTTTATGCACAGATAAGTGTAAACACACATACTTTCATATACACTCACATCTGGTACAATCTATATCATCTCCCACTTGGACAATGGCACTAATCTCCTAACTAGGCTCCCTATGTCCACTTTCATGTCCCTATGTCCTATGGCCCTTTTTAACCTATTTTCCTCTTCCAGGTCAAAATTCAGAACTACATAGCTTTAACAATTGCTAAAAGTCATCATCAACCTAAAGAATGACCCTTCTAAACTCCTTCTCCCCTATAATTCTATAACTTAGACTTTTCAGAACTTAACATGTATTTCTCCTCTTATAGTACGAGCAAATGTCCCTCTTATAATATCATCAAACGTCCCAATAAATTAATCTCTAACTCTCAGTTTTGTCGATCAAAGGAAAACATATATCAATTCCTAATTCTCTATAGATATTATCACTAAATACAGCCCCAAATCTAATTATTAAGATTCAAAATACATTGAAAATCATTTTTATAAAAGTATACATTTAAAACCACTCATCAACATTAATACCAATACAAAAAAAAACCATTTTGTTCTTCATAACGTTTTCCTTACTGCATTTTTTGTCTTTTGTTAGCTTTTGGCTAACAAATCTGTTTTATAAGTGCTGGTATTATACAATGATAGAACTCTGAATAAAATTAGTATAACAAGGATTATATATATTTTAAAACCCTCATCTAAATATTGGCCATGAATTAATGACAATGTCTTCGAAAATACCTTGATTGCTATCTACATTCAATAATTCCAGTCTACTTAAATCAAAGAGTAATTAGCAGAAGATAATAAAAATATACAAAGCTAGAAAAATAGGAACATTTCACGCTTTTTAGAAAGATGTTCTGAATATGTTAAAGCTATATCTGGTCATTATCTATTTGTAGAGGGGTGCCAGGCAAAGCAAACTCTTAATTCTAGGCTGACAGAGCCAGTACACCTTTTTTTAAGCAATAAGCTTTCTAAGATGAATTTAAAATAACTCTTCATTAAACTGATACATTTTAACTAATAATTTAAGTCACTGGGAGCTAATTCTGCAGGGTTATGGGTTTTCATTATCCCTACTTTGAAAGTCAGGAGTTTTTTTGTGAGTGAGGGATACCAAACATGGTTTTTAAAGATTAACTTCATCTGCCAGCCCTAAGTCAGGTTCTACACTTCCACGATTCCCATAAGCCGATCTGCTGATACATCTACTTAATGCATCTAATGACAAATACTTTACTGAAAAAACACAGAGGCCTGTTTTGAGAAAATGGCAAACAATGTAATAGATTAGGAAGCTTAGATTAAACGTTCCTGCTTTTTTTTTTTTTCCAACAGGGAATTTTGATTCAGCTTTTGAAAACTGGGAAAACAAATATTGGCAGTTCTGATGCCTCCTTTACATCTATATCTTTTAAAAAAGACTCAAGTATAAAGAGTGTACTAGTGACAAGACACTTGGATGTAATTTGGAAATGCAAAGAAAAATCCTCATTATTTTCCCCATCAAGTGAACCACCTTCTAGATTCAAGGCCAGATTTATATTGTTTCAAAAATTGTTACTGTCCCATCAACCTGAAGAAAGTTTCTATATGCCTGAAATCACTTTCAGCACTTCATTTGTCCTTTAAGCAACTTCACAGACAACACGAAAAGAACATATATACTCATCTTCAGACAGTTAGTGGGGTTAAGTATATGCCAAAGGCTTGCAAATTATCTTTAGAACACTGCAATGCTCCAGTATACAATTACTAAGGTGATCTGTCTATGCCCCAAAATGTAGCTTAAAATATGAAAAGGAAGCCCAAATATTCTAGAAAGGAAGATAAGATAATGCAAAGAGAAATAAATCTATGAGTCTGTTGAATGCCAAGCTACGAAAGTGGACCATAGACAGCATTTTATCAAAGTGCAGCCTAAACAAACGTCAAGGGGAATAATTTCTTTAACAAATATGGGCAACAATGGAGTAAAAAAGGGGGGAGTTCTGTGCCCTCGCATGCATTTAGTCAGGGTTAACAATGGATAAAAATATGCACGAGAACACATTTAATAACCCTAAACTGTCATTCAGTTTGTAGGAGGTAGTCAAGATACAGCTAATAAAACACCAAAAAAATGGTTTTAGCCACCCTGAAAAAAAAAAAATCCTTGATGGAATAAAACAAAAGAGGACTGAAGGGCGTCTCCTGCCAAGATAAATGCCTTCTTTTGAGTGTTGCCTGTGGCTAACCTTCACAAAGAGAGCTCGAGAATCCTCTGATGATAATACATCACTACGTCACTTATCACAGTCAATTTAAAAGGGAGCTTTATAAACATTTCTATTTCACTCCCTGTTCTGTCGTTCTATTAATGATGACTTGAGCTCTGAGAAAGGGTCTAAAATTAATTTTAGGAGTTGTAAATGAGGCAGGGCAATTAGGAACTGTTATAAATTGGATTGGGGGGAGAAGCATTAACACAGTTTTTTCTTGTGGGCTCTTGTTTTAGTTAGCTGACCCATCTTTAGGAACACATTCAATTACAAAAGCAGATGCTTAAAAAAATGCATTCCATTAAGAAATGTTTGGATAATGACATACAAGGGAGAACCTACATTATGTATGGTGCTCAGCCTGCAGTCATGTTCTAATCATACTGTGGGAAAAAAAAAAATTCCGTTCAATCAACTTTTTCCAGTTAATTACTGTTTTCTTTCCCTCATGACCCTGAATCTTCAACCGTAAGTTCAGTAGGAGGTGACTTAAGACAGACGGTGACGAAAGATCCTGTTCAAAACAGCCTCTCTCTCACCCCTGGGGTGAGGGTGGGTGGAAGTTTGCTGTGATCAACCCTGGAGATAGATGCTCATTTGCCTAAATTTTAAAAGCTGTATTTTCAAGCGGCATCTTGAAAAAGAAAAGGCTTTTGATATCAATTAATATCAACACTACCCACCAGTAGAATGATGTATTGTGTATGCAGAAGGGCCCACGCAGAAAGCGAAGCTGCTCACACGAGGTGGAGCCCACAGGGTAAGATATATTTGAACAACCACGAGTTTCAGTAAGGACAAAGAACAGACCAGATTTGTAAAGGCCAGGCTTTGGCAGCCCAGACTCCTTAATGTGGCTTGTTCTCTGTCGCCCACCGAAAACTGACCTCAAGAAATAGTTTACTCCAATTACGAAGAATTCTGTCTTTGAAACCTAATAGCACACGACTGGAATTTCCTAACACAGGGGCCACGGAGTCTTGTGGAAGTTCTTTGCTCCATGCACCAGCTTCTACCCCACTACTCGCTCAGGGCATGACCCAGTGAGGCAGCTGGCCCACCCTTGGCCCATCCTCCAAGCGCAACTGGGCCAGGAAGCTCTAAAGTGGCAAGATTCTGTGCTTCAGGACACTAAGATGGCAAATGATGGCACCTCTTGGCATCCTGCTACAAAAGGGATGTTGGTGAGTCTGAGGCCAACCGATTTTCCCATATGGAAAAGGCCCAAGTCCAGAGGAGGACAAGTGCCAGGAAGAGCTATTGCCTCTATCCTAAATCGCTCTCTCCATTCCCATCCCTTTGGAAAACTGATAAAAAGACAATGAGGGATGGGAGGGACCACTGTCCAGGTCCTGGTAGAGGATGTGTATGAGGTATTACTGATTACTGTGTGCCTGATCCACATACACACACAAAAAAATAGAGAGAGAGAAAAATTACTTCTTTTGATTACCTGAGCCTATTATGATTTTTTTTAACTTACCAACACACATAAAATATCACTCAAGTCATTAAGACTTGATTAAGGTATCGATTTAGTGCCTGAGCTTTGAAATCGAAGACACCTGGGTTTGAATCTCAGCAATATCTTTTGTTTCTGTCACCCTGGGCACGTTACTTTACATCTCTGAAACATAGATTTCCTCACAATTGAACTGAGAAGGATAATAGTAACTCTCTCTTTGATTGTTGCGAAAGTTAAATGTGATAATGCGTGTAAAGATTCTGTTCAGTGCCTGACATGACCACACAAATGTTAGCAATTACTTATGATCATATAACACAGACACCACCAAATGTAAAGGTTCAAAAGTTTTGCATTATTTTCTACTGGGCTCCACTTTGTAGTAAACATATCTAAACATGCCAACGAGTCTCTCGTATTCAAGATATACTCTCTGAAATTAGTTTCGGTTAAGCTGCACAATTGACTTTTACGAGCTGATGTCTGTTTTGCAAACAAACTTAAAGGAGAAAAACAGAGCTTGAGTGTGGAGAAGAATCTGTTCATCATAGAAGAGTTGCATCCCAGACCAGCCAGGTCCAACCTGGTCAATAACTATTTAATATTATTCCACCCAAACTGATAGAAAAGGCCACACAGAAGTGGGCAAAACGTGATTTCATGTAGTATGAGAAATGGAAACGTGTTATGAAAACTGACCTTTTAAAAGTCAAGGTCAAGTGCAAAATCTAACCAAAGTTAACCAACTTCAAAACAAAAATTCTTCCATTAAAAAAAAACTTAAATAAAAATGGTAAATTTGGAAGCAGGAAGGGCAAGTGAAATGAAGGGATTCCAGGACCTACTAGCATACCAGGTTTTAGTGTATAATGTTCCATGACGCTCATTCATTCTTGTTATTCCCAATCAGTGACGAGAAGGCTTCTCTGTTGACCATTTAATTCTGCCAAGGCAGCTTTCTAGGTAAAATACACCCAACTAGACTCCTTCAAAGGGTTATTGGTGATTGATAATAAGAAAACTAAATACATCTGGACTTCACTGGGGGCCAAAGCTTTGCCCAGCATCCACCTAAATTAAACCTATTGTCCATGGATGATCAGTTACTGTCAAGTGACTTGTCTCATCACATTAACTTTTTTGTTGGAAATGAACAATTGCCAGAAAACAGGTCACTGATGTCAAGGATTAGCCCCCAGAACATCCGATCAATTATTTTTTTCTTATTGGTGGGATGTATATGTATGTATGCTTGTGTGCATATACTTAAGTTTCCCAAAAGGAAGTATATTTTAATTTTCCTTCTATTGTACATTTAAGGCTACTAAGATTTGTCAATAAGTCTTTGCACAGAACAGCAAATTGCCCTCCTGTATCTTGAACTAAATATTTCCCTTCTTAATTTGAAATTTTTGTGTTAAATCAAACCTCCCTTTGTTTATGTTTACATGGAACAGAACAGTCCCATAAGCTAAATTATAATGAAAAACAAAACAGATTGTCATGTCATTGCTGTAAGAGGGATAGAAGCAGGAGGGGGCACATTCCAGAATTTTGTTAATGCAACATTTGAAGAAAATCAAATTAAGATTCTGTGGAGCAAATCTTTGTAGAGAGAATTACAAAAAAATTGAGTTTGTTGGAAGTGTCTCCTTTGAGAGAGTTCATATTCACGGGAAGGAAAAAAGCCGTTGTGTTTCTGCACGGCGGGAAGGAAAGAGAGAGTGGGTGTTTGTGTGTGCTGTGAGTGACTGTAGTGGCTGGGAAAAAAGCAGGTTTCCAGTAGGGGCAGGGAGGCATGATACCCAACAGGCAGGAGGGCTAAACAGATTCCCATCAACCTGAAGCTGTTCTCCCATGCTGTACCGGCCACGGAACTGAACAATAATTCAAGATAGCCTATGGGAGTCTTTCTTTGGGAAGCTGATGGCTTTCGGAGCATCCTCAAAGATGCAATTCCTCATATAAATGTCTTTGAGAAGTCTGGATTTTAGGTCTGCCATCTCGTGGCCATTGCAATAAATACTGCCCTCTTCCATTTTTTTCCAAAGTAATTACACCTCTATAATCTGTATTCTAAAAACATACCGCAAAGGGTGCTTACTAAAAAAAGGAACTTTAGCCACAGGAGTGCTCCATGATGCAGAGAGAGCTAGGGCATTTCACATTCTAATTCCCTTTCTGCTCACATTTTTCATTCCTTGATGAAAGCCCAGATTCAAATTATCATTTATCAAATTATCAAGTAATCATTCAACATAGAATTAGGCCTGCTGAGAAGTTGGTTAAGAGGTGATAGGCATGTTTTAGGTGCCTACTTTTTTTTAAAGAGATAACTTAATGGACACATAGTTGCTTCCAAATAAATGAAAGTCTCACCATTTCTGTACTTGCCATAGATTTGCTAGAAGAGCACACAGA